TTTATCGTTCTCATAAAAAAGTATAAAGAGCATCAACATTTTTAATTTTTAATAAAGCATTTACATATCATAAAGAATCTGAACATGTCTCCAATAAATGCTATGAAATTACAAAAAATATATATATATATATATATATAGATATATATATATATAACCAAATGCAATAATTATATATTTGAAAGGATTAAAATGGTTGATAATGATATTAAAATACACGGACATTTAACAAAACGAAATAACATTTATCATTTATTTTTTGTCTGGATCATAAACGTTATTAGTGTCAGTATAAACATTTGTATTAATAGTAACTCGTAAAATAAATAAATAAATAAATAAAATAAATAAATATTAACAATGTCACACTAAGAGAATAAAGACAGAATTAAACTTGAACTGTGGAATAATCATCTTTAGTTATTTGTACTTTTGGTTTGTTTTCAACTTCTTTGGATGAGAGGTTTTGTTTGGCCTTGAAAGTATCAATCATGTTATGGAGGTCTTGGCAGACTTGTTCTTGCTCATCTAATTGAGCCATCAGCTCCTCAATGAGGGTTTGTTGTTCGGTCATGGTAGTCGATTGTTCGATTATTAAATTATTAGCTACTTCCAATTCGTTTCGATATTGGGTCCGATCACGTTCTAATTAAACACTTTCACTGTTTAATAATAAATAAATTAAATTACATTATTTACTAGGCAAACAAGCAAACCTTTTTCTTGCAAAAGTTCTGTATTTTCTGCTTTTAATTTTTCATTTTCAGCTAAAATTTTTGCTTGTTCTGCACGAAGTCTTTCAAGTTCAATACAAAGTTGAGAATTTTCCGTGCGGAGATTGTCCATTTCGGCCGATGGAGTGTTACCAGATCGTACACTCAAAGAATTGCTTTTCTTGAGGTTGAACAATGTTCTCGTTGAAGGATTAGACTTTACGTTGGGATTACTAGAAAGTTTTGAGGTGCCGAGAGGATCGTATGGGGCTACACGCGTATTTCTGCCAAACTGTGGAAAACTTTCATCATTTTTTCTCTTCAACGAAGATTTTATTTTGCAAAATGATTTAGTCAATTATATTACAATTTAGTCAATTATATTTACTTTAGGAAATAAAAGTTAACAAATTAATCACCATTGCATTCTTTGAATCATTTTTCATTTTAAGTGGCTGCCTCAGGCGAGTGTTCATTGTTGCACTATGATTTGGTGGAGAAGACTCCTCATCATTAGTAGAAGATTGAGATGGTATTAAGGAAGAAGCTTGCTTTGAGACCGTAGATGGCGGTTTCAAATTTGTTCGTATCGTAGAAGATTTTTGTGAGGTTGGAATCGTTAAAGATTTTTGACTAGTCGTAATTTCACTATGCCCAGTTGTGGGCAGGCGTGAAGGCAAGCGAGAAACTGATGACATTTTCAATAAATAATCGTTGACAAAGAGAGTTACGACTAAGATTTGAATCGTAACCTTTTAAATCAGTTTCGTTATGATGCTTGAAATATGTTCGACTTTTAACAAGACCAAATTATAATATTAAATACTTGAATCTGTAATTTATAATCAACAAGAGGTCCACAACAAGAATAACATGTACCTAATCAATTTTTGGTTATACACATTGTACAAGATATTCGATTTTGGACGATTGGTTATATTCCAAGCAAACACAACTTTAATGTCTAAACGAAGTGCAGACACAGGAATATCGCACCGCACCAATGACAACAAAAATAATAAAAATAACGCTGATCATCATAAACTAAAGGTTTTATTTTTTTAGATTAATCACAAACATATGTACATGCTTTTGTTACATATATTAGGCAATGAACAAACTATGCATAGATATGCGATTATGTGCATTTTGAATACTATATAAGTCATAATTTACCAAGAATTCGGTATATACAAGATTTAGTACTTAACGCAGGATCTTGGAAGATCATTAGGTTTTGTAAAAATACGAACTTTTAGTGTCAAATGTTAAGCAGCAGTGACATCACCTAATCTTAAATATTAATCCTAATATACAATTCATGCTTTCATTGTCTAATTCCAAATTCTGATAGAAATGCGAACAAAGTTGCAGAATAATTTTTAGCTGAAAGTTTTATACATATTCAAAACCTTCTATGAATACATTTATAATTTTTTTATTATTAAATATAATATTGTATAAAGATCTAGGCGCCAAATAAGATAAAGTAAAATAAGATGACGCGAAAGCACTTTACCATATTAATTTATTAACAATAGGCAAGACAACGTAATTAAAATCAAGTAATAATAACAATCTACTGCGATACTTCATTCGCTGGCTTCCACAGTTTTATTGACCCATCAATGCCAGTGGATACCATTGCATCTATGCGAGGATGATACTTCACGCATGTAACAACTCCTGAATGGGCATTACTTATTGTAGTCAATACCTTTCCCTGATATAAAATTCAATTAATATAAGGACTTGAAACAATTACTAGTAAAAATTTGTAAACTCTGTAACATAATCATTACCTCCAGTAAATCCCAAATGTATATAGCACCATTTTCTGATCCACTGATAACATACGCATCATCCCTAGATAAACAAGAATGGATCTTGTATGATGAATTGCTATGTCCTTTAAACCTAAAAAAAAAAACGACAGTTGAAATAATGAATATGGGATATATAACCTTTCATTTATTTATTTGGATCAAGTATAATATCGGGGACTCCATTAATAAAGTTGATTTATAGTAGGGTCCTCTATATTATTATATTATGCTTGATCCCTTCTTTTATTTTTCTTTTTTTGAATTCCACTTACGAGTTCAACATTCCACCATTCTCTCTGTCCATTAATCTAATAACATTGTCCAAACTACTTGCAAGTATGCAATTAAAGTCATTAGACACAGATACTGAAGTCACCGGATCTTTGAAGAATCAAAATAGTAAACCCCATGAAATGATTTTTAAGCATCTTAACGGTTACATCATAAAAAGACTTACGCGAAATTAAGTCAGTCAAAAGAGTACCCATTCGAATGTCATGCGTTCGTATATTTCCATCAGTACATCCAGATACAATTTCATATTGAGAAACCTGTAAAGATGTAATACTATCTTTTGCTTCTTCTAAAATCTGGATTGGCATACGACTTTGTGACCTGATAGTAATAACAAATTAATGAATAAATAAAAAAAGACTTAAAAATTTAATATTCATTATTATAAAGAATAATACTTACCTACAATCCCACAATCGTATAGTTGTGTCATATGAACCTAATAAGTAAAATCAAGAAAGTTATGAATGTTAAAGAAAATATAAACATGCGTACCATTATTCCCAAGATAAGTACCACTGGCAATTACTGTCCCCTCCGCATTAAAATCAACGGTGTTCACGCGCTATAATTATTTAAATTTCACTTAAAATCATATATAATTATTGTAGGAGGATTGTGATAGTCTAAATTGTACTTGATTGTGGCCCTCAAAACGTCTGATCGTTTTTCCAGTAGCAACATCCCAGTAATAGACTTGACGATCGCCTCCACAAGAGACGAAACGCGAATGATCCATGGTG